GCTGCGCCTCCTAAAGAGCCCACGCCCCATTCACGGGCCTGCTTCTGTTTTTGTGGTAAAAGTCAGCTGTTTACTTTTGACCTTTACCCGACTTCCATTCTCCTCTAGTTTCCTCTTTTCTGGTTCTCCATCCGTCCACTATCTTTTGTAAGATGAGCAATTCACAGAATCCGGATCCTTCCTTACTGTTGATTAAACCCAAAGGATTCTTACGAATGCTGAGCCACGCTATGTAAGCGCACGCCAGCAAGTCTAGGTGGCCTCTCAGTTGCTATTCTGCAGTTACTATTATGTTTAGTAAAGTAACCTGATGCTACCTGTCAGAGTTCCCAAATGAGCTCTTTCTGCTGGTCCTGCGACAGTGTGTCCTGACAACATCCCAGCTAGTCCTTCAAGTGTGTTTCCTCTGATGGCAAATACGTCTCATTCCTTTAAGTTGTTGGAATGTCACCGGTCGCACTTTCCTATTCACTGCCAGTTTATGTAACAATCCTTTTTAAAACCAAGGCAAAGACAGTTCCAAGTCAGCCCTTCTAAGGTTCATCCTGGCACCCTGAGGGGTTTTGGGAAGAAAACAATTCCTGCCCTCTAGGAATTTGAGAATCTAATTATGAGTTTACTTTAAACACATTTGTTACTTCAGTACTTGTAAGGGAATCAAGGTTTTAATAAATAATCTGCTCAATCTCTTCAGTTATTTGTGCCCTAAGTGTGATTAGAATGTCTCCCATGACTAATATTGAGAGTATTACTATTTCTTGTGACATTTTCCCCACACAATCCCACTAGAGATGCTGTTCTTGGACGGAGCCAGTCTGTCACAGGTCTTAGTGAATGGTCCCGCCTGACCAACCCCATCTCCTCTCACCGCCCACGCCTCAGTCTGACTGGGAGATGTCCAGCTGCTCGCAGCACCTTGCTCAGATCTGGACTGCACTGGCTGCTGTCCTGTGTTGGCAGCTCCTCAGCAGGGCCAGTGTCTTTCTCCCATACTCTGCCGTCCCTGAGCACAGCAGACACTCAGTAAATGTCCTACATGTATGAACAGAGGGGGGAATGGAAGAAGACCTCGAGCCACCAGAGGCTTAACCCTGTCCACAGGGACAGGCCACCTGCCCCATCCCTGTCCTCCACTTCACCACATCTTGCTTCCACTGTCTTCCCTGTGAGACCCAGCACGTTGAAAGTGTTGGGAGTGTGTCTACATCACTTCACTAACCTCCTGGCAGAGTCAGAGCTACTGCTTAGAAGACAAGGCAAGACCTACGGAGGGACTGACTCACAGAAGTGCATCCCTTTCCTGCGCTGCCCTTCAGCTCAGTGACTGGGCATTTTAAATACAAATGAACTCTCCTGAGCACAGAGGGTGAGTATAGAGAGGAGGGGCAGGGCGCCGTGGCTTTGCCTCTCGGAATTCTCCTATCTCATGAAGACTAGACAGTGCTAGCTAACCAGCACTAATGAGCTCTTTCCTGCAGCACCACATCCTGAGAAATGCAACTCCCTGAAAAGAGACAGGAGGAGGAGGGACTGTGGTGGCTGCATGGGTGGAGAGGTATGCTTTGCCTGTGAACGTAGGAGGGGGTCTACCTCAGAGAGCAAATCCTTGCTGTGGAGGTCTCTTCCCACTAGTGCACCCTATCTGTGTGACAGAATCGGTCACTCCATGACTCGTGATATAGACGCTCACTCCAAGTCAGCGAACAGGGTAAAGAGCAGCTGTGTGCAGACTGTCCGACTTCTCACCTGGCTGGGGAGGGAGTAGATGCTGAGGGTCCTCTGGACTCTCATACAGATGAGCCCACACAAGAACCAAAGTCACCTAATTGTGAACAGTGCCAAGAAAGCCAAAGACAGTAAGATCACTGGGCAGACGACTCCAGAAGGAAAAGGTTGATTTTGGCCCTTCAGGAACAGCAGGCTTAGTAGGAGAGAGGAATTGAATCACTTTCCGCGCAGCGCTGGACGTGTTCTGCTCACTATTTACAAGCTATTTGCAGCCTCTGGGGAGTTATTAGGGGACAAGCTGCACTGACAGCACAGACCTCGCCTGGCTTTCCCAGGGAGCAGCTGGCAGGTCTGGCACCAGTTCCCAGCACACTTGGCCTTCTCTGTCCGCATTCGCACATGCCAAGAGTCTGTTTTCTGTCCCTCCAGGAGCCACCAGACCCTGCGGCAACCAACCTCCCTGTGTTGGCAGAAGCAGTGTTTGCAGAAACAAAACATATGGACTGTGTAGGTGGGGGAGGAAGGTGTTCAATAGAAAAAGATGGAGTTGGGACTTATGAGGGAGTAGTCACACAGAAAGTTCAGTAACTGCCTGAATCCCCCTGACCAGAAATGAGCAGAACCAAGCTCATCCCAGGCTGCTCTAACATTCAGCACCTCCTGCAAACTTCTAGAAGGGGTTTAAAGCTCTAGGACAAAAGTAATTATGATCCTAGTTGAGCTGAAGCCAGGAAACTTGAGAAGGAGCTCTTCGCTCCCTGGGAGCCAGTGCAGTCTGAGCAGGTGTCCACTGCTTTTATCATTACTGTAACAAAATGCCTGACACAGGCAACTTCAGCAAAAAAAGGTTTGTTTTGACTCATGACAGTTTGAGGACTGTCGGGAAGGCCTGGTGGCAAGGCCAGGGGCAGCTGCTCACATTGCATCCGAAGTCAGGAAGCAGAGGCTGAACTGTGGTGCTCAGCTCACTCACGTTTTCCTTTTTATTCAGTCTAGGACCCCAGTACCTGGGATGGACCGCTTATGTTCGGGGCAGGTCTCCCCTGCTCAGATAGCGCAGTCTAAAGACTCCCTCACAGACATACCTAGAGATGCATCTGTCTCTTACGTGATTCTGAAGCTTGTGAGGTTGACGGTGAAGAACCATCACAGAGGGTTGGCCTGAGGCTGCTGGCTGACCCACCAGCATGGCCAAATGAAACTCAAAGACCAGACCCGCACCCCAGACAGGTTAGATTCCAGGCCTTTCCTCAAAATGACTGAGAGAAAATGGCAGTTTTAACCCACAAGGCAAATAAAGCCTAAAGAGCAGAGTAGAAAGGAAGACCAGCAGCCTGTGCAGGACCTGCCTTCCGGAGAGTTCTCAGACACAGGGCCACGCTCCATTCTCTCCCCTTACTCCTTGTCCAGATGCCCAACTCTCCATCCAGCTCTACCCTGGCTCTCTGGGATCCCTCCTGGCTCTGGATGCAGGTGTGATCCTGCTGCACTGAGAACTTCCAGGATGCAAATGGACTTCTTTTCTCTCAGTTCTGAGTCGGGCTGACCCAGAGTCTCTACGGCTAAAATAAGCACTTCAAGACGACTTCCAGGCCTCCAACTCTGTTCCACTCAGTCTTCTTACATGTGTGATGAAAGTGTGTGTCAGGACCAGGGAAGGCTGGGGGCAACACTTTCCCATCCATATGTTTAATATCTGCAAGTGTGGAACCTGCTTCACCTGAACGTCTGACAGGTGAGTTTCCACTTGCCGGGCTCCAAGCCTCCCAGAGCTCAGGCTGGCCTCTCCCCTCCCCGCCTGATGCTCTGGGCCCCAAGGTGGTCATATCAGCCCTGTGGAATGAAGGCAGATACACAGGAGAAGTGGGGCATCCACATCCTGGCCAGTCTGGAAGTTCCTTCTATAAGTTCACCCAGCTGTGCACTGAGTTCAGCCACCCTACGACAGGCAGCACGGCTTTTGCCACAAGGTGAGAAGCCAGAAGACTGATAAGATCAAGCCTCACGCAAGCTGTACCACCAAGAGCCCCTGACAGGGGACAGCCTGCTGTCTTTTGAACATGCAGCAGATGTTCAGAAAGTACAGGGCTTGGTGGCGGATGTGGCATTAGGCCTGGAGCTGCTCTTGCCCTGAGCTTCATGGTGAGGAACTCCCAGGTTCCTGGTGATTCACTCATGATGCACTGCTAGCCTCTGCACCACTCTGGGGGCCTGCCAGGATGGTTACATGGCTGCAAATGTGGACCCTGAACAAGGCACATGAGGAAAACCAGAAACACCAGCTCCCGCTCTGAAGTGCAATTCACAGGAACAAAATCAACTTTACAGACACTTAACGCAGCACCCCACGCACAGAAAGAAGACACAAGAGGAGAGAGGTGGACAGGAAGGCATCTGAAGAGAGGCAGCTGTGACAGCATCACCTTCCTGAATTCCAGGGTCCACTTTCCACATGTGCTGGCGTGTAAGCGATGCCAGGTTCACATGCCTCCGTGCCTGTCCTGGATGCAGTTATTGGAGAGCACACTCCTCTGGGCATGCCTCTCAATCTCACAGCTGTACCACAGGTAGGATCTTTATTCCCACTTTGCAAATGACCAAGAGGAGCCTTTGAGAGCTCAAGTAACTCACCTGCGTAACGGTGGTAGAGTAGCAGGTGCAATCTCAGCACTCAAATCTGTCTCTAAATACCACTTGTTTTCCATTCCCAGGGCTGCAAGTAGTCCAGAGAGGCATAAAGTGGTTGCG